GGTTCGGGTACATTTGTGCAGATAATTGTCAAACCGGTGCTGCTTCCACCTTTTTTACCCCAAACGGCGCAACAAAAATAAAAGCTTCAACGAGGTGGGGGTTTCATGGTTTGCTGTCAGCCAAAATATTTGACACATCTCAAACTATTTTTATGATAGAAACGTACGCCTATCAGAGTGATTGAACGGTGAGTCTCATGCAACAGGCTTTCATGCAGGACTGAATGGTTCTAATGTGAACATATAGATGCACGCAAACGGGCAAAACAGAAACAAGCGACCACAAAAATACGGGGTCCAGCCAGGAGCAAGCAGCACGCATCAGTTGCGCTATCTTGTTCGGGCGATCACTTACAACGATCGGAAAGAAGTCCACACCGAATAAATGGTGCATTTGTGCTAATTTCAGATACTGCAACTCGGCTTTATCGCTGATATGAATGAATGGACGGGGATAGATGAATACGTGTTCCAATGGTAAGAACAATCGAGGCGAGCCAATCAGCGCACATGTGAGAAACTGGGTAAATGAAATCATTGTATATAGGGTGTAGTGAATGGTGTGGTGTAGAAAGCGAGGGCGGGAGATTGATAGAACACCTATGAGCCTCAAAAAAACGAGATATACCCAAATATAATCACTAACGAAAGATGGGAAGGAAAGATGACCCGAGAACCGAATTATGGCTTGAAAAAAAAACTACGTTCACGAAGCACATCTAAAAGCACCAAATATGGTCCTGAAAAGAGAAGCGCTCTAGTGGTTATAGATTTTAAAGTCTCTCGAGACACAAACGGATTAATCAAAGTGCAATGAAATTAAAGCACTTCTGGGATTACCATTATTGTCATTTTCACCAAGGCTAATGGAAAAAAATCTTCGGTTCATGAGAGAAATAGCTTACCGATTGATTCCTTTATACGATTTATAGCACTCGCGCAATTTTTGGGCGAGAACCTGATTGGTTTGGACATGTTGTACCAGTTGCACCGGGATTAGACGCAGCAAACGCGTGGGAAGAAAATTCGGATCATCTTTGTCGTCCAGTTCATCTTCACACAGATCTCCGTACTCCGCCTGGGACAAAAAGTGGAGCGCAAGTGGGACAACGCTAATGCACAGAACTGTTCATTCAATCCGATACGGTTATGCTATTTTATTCTGGTATATGCAATGCATCAGATTGGGGAGCATCAAGTTTAACCCGACAGATGCAGACTTTTCGCTTGGTCATCACACGCGCAATAATGTCAATGAATGGCATCGCCTTCACCCCCAACAAATTAAATCATTGAAGCTACTGAATGCGAGTAATTTCTTCAACAGAGAGATGATCCTCCAGCAAATCGAATCACCTCAGGGAACCCGCAATATACTTCGGTTTTCACTGTTCTCGTAACTTCTATTTAACTTTCTGCTGTGAATCATACTGTTTGAAGAGCCGTGTCACGAAGCTAAATTAGGAGTAAACCCCACATGACTTACTATTCGGCTACGAGAACTGAAGCCTGAAGTCCATTATCTTGAAAGAGCGAACCCTACAGGGTTCTAACAGGACAAGCACGTTATTAAGCAGGGGATTGGGGAGCTTACAACCATCAAAACTTGGTGAGGATAGCAGGATTATAACCTTGAGCCTTATGGCCCAAAGCACATCGATGATTTTAACTGGGACCAGTGAACCAAAAGCACTAGCTGAGGTGTATCGCAGGAAAAGGAAGGAGGGGTTTTTGCAGAACCTTCCAAGTGAACACTTTGAAAGGAACAAACTCCTGTGATATCAGTTGGTAACGAATACAACTGACGATCAACCTATACGTGCAAAGCGCCTAAGCATTTTAAAACTAAGAAAAAATTCCTGCCCTATGCAATCAGGTATGTCAAAATTGAATGAATGAGCATTTGGGAGAATTCAAATGATTATTCCCTTGGGTAAAAGCAACCTCTAAGATCATCAATTACTTCAATATTCCATCTGACAACTAGCAAAAGCACAGACCTGAGAAACTATAGCTCCTACTTTAGATCACTCAATTGTCCCGAACGACGCGAAAGAATAATGGCTGTTGGAACTGAATCATGTAGAATAAATCCCATTGCATAATGTTTAACTCAAAATTGGTCAGGATTTTCCGTTTGGAGCTCGTCAAACCCCTGTAGTTCCAATGACAGCAAACGCTCGTATCGATAAACATAAAGTTCGTTAACGAGAATTAAATTTTGGGGTTATGTGTAGTGCAGACAAACAAACTTCTACCCACAAATTTATTGGACACAGTGCAATCGATAAGAAATACGCCTACCGATCTACATCAATTGGTTTTATCGAAGACCGGGTTCACCCATTTGTGTCCTACATCTTACCCAACACAAAGCGGATGTGCAGTAACGACATTAGGAGCATTGTCCTAGCGTTACCACAGCACCCAAGGGTTGCATGGTTCCAGTGATGCTCTCCCACTTTCCTCCCACGCCCAGACAACGGATCGACGGCAACAGAAAATAAAATATTAAATTCTGCGGCCTGTAAAATAAACAGTGAAGAGAACCATGCTTACGATGACACACGGTGCGGATAACAGGTTAGTACCTATTGCTGTCGTCGATTGGCTATACAAATAAGGATCCGGTCACGTGTGATCAGTACAGTTTTTCCCATTACATAGACACAATGAACAAGCGTATATCCAAAGCGAGACAAAAAAGACAAACAGAGCTGGGGAATGAATGGGATAAACGGTGGTTTTCTGGCCATCAGATGCGGTGTTTGGGAGTCGGTACCTATTGTCGTCCGACGGAGGAGGCATAAAGTCGAATTCATGTTTTCAGAAGTGTTGAAAGATTAAATTCATATTTATTTGTCACATTAGAACTAGCAACGGAAAGGCCTTCACCGTTTGGTCTAAAACATGCATTGTTATTACACTTCCCATTTCCCTGAGTCCGAACGGTGAATCAAACTGATAATGATACAATTATCTTTATAAAAAAAGAAATCCACTGAATATTCCTATTGTGACATTGACACAACAACACGAGTGGCAAACAAGCTCGTTTTGGAAAATTTATGTTAGCTAATACAGTCACGTATATGACGTAAAGAGATGTGTAAGAAATAATAATAGAATGAATGTGCATTGATTGGATGATATTGACGTGATGATAAGATTGGGAAAGACGTTGTTTATTCGGGGTTTAAAATAGAAAACAAAGAATCAAAGAACGACATACAGGGAAGAGAGATAGAACGAGATGAGTGAGGCCACATACTTAGGGTTTTGGTAAGAGAGTGATGAGAAGGGTCATCGATGAATTGGCGTTTTGTGTACTGCTCATGTGGATTTGCTGCAGGATGATCAACTAACTGTTCCAGTTGGGCACTTGGTAAGATAAACATTTAAAAAAGGGAATGTGCTGTCCATTTATATTTCCGGTGTAAAATTGAGCGCGACGTGAGCTCGGTTAAACTTACTGGCCAGTGTGTCTATAGGTGTATATCATTAGGTAATACGAAAATATCGTCAACGACAATAGAACGGCAAGCTTTCTATGGCATCCGAGACAAGCTGAACAGAGAATTTAGCTTACCAGCTGTTCTGCTCTTCATGATAACTGAAGGGAGCCTAAAACTTGTCTTGCTCGAAAGTGCACAACAAAACAATCGCGATTCGCGCTAGTGGTGAAAAGAGAAAACCTTTCGGACCCAAGTGAAGAAGGCATTCAACCGTAGCATATCAGTAACGGTGAATACCAGTTATGTAACCCCTAGATGGCGAGAACTTAATGGTATGGCTGAAGAGAGAATCGGAGCAAGTAGAAACGTACCTGGGCTGCCAACGAGGCCAGAACAATTGCCACATCCAAACTGGGACAGAGATCACCTGAGTATTTTTAATGGGGTTGAGAGAGATCGCATTTAGGCAAAAGTAGTCTTCACTGCAAGAGTACAAATTGAAGTTTAGGCAAATACAAATATAAAATGCAGATACAAGTGGCGTATAAACATTGTCCAGTGCTAACTAGAGCAGTATGGGGTTTGGAGTCATCACAATCATACACAAGACAGTAACCAATCCCTGGAATTAACTCGTCCTTAATCGCAATTTTATATTCTCTAGGTTGCAACTTCACTACGAGAAATACTTGCTTGATCTCCATGTAAAACGGAATAAGAAATACCCTATCTGCAGCAAAAAATAACAAGCAGTTGTGAATTATATAAGAAAATCGAATCTACCCCGGTTTGCTCACTGTACGATGAGTAACGGAATCTGCAAGAGGCTTGATCTGATAGTAAGCTTCGGTTGGAGTTAGCAGATTGACCAGCTTTTTCTGAGGAAGACACCTGTGTGAAATGGCTGGTAGATTCGTACACAAACACACCACACAATGGGACGGTGTATACACACAACTGGTTATTTCTAATGAAAGTGAGAATAAAGTTTTTCCCCCTCCCAGGTGTACTTTTAACAGTAAGCAGCGAAAATTGTGCGAGAGGACTGAGTCACGATGAAACACATGTATTCCACACCACTATAGATAAGATAGATTTGAGGACAGGAAAAGAAAACGCCTTATCCGCATGCCAACCGATTTAAGTGAGGAAACCATACGACCACAAGAGAGCAGTTCAACTTACAGGAAAAGGTTCCATTGAGATCTGTTTCATTCCGATTTAGAATTGTCGCTTTGACGCTCAAATAGAATAAATGACGAGTGGTCGCTTGGATCAGTTCTTGCTCAATGTCCTCGGGGAAGAACTTGGTGTGAAAAAAGAAACATAACTGCTTCTGAACCGCATTGGCACGTTGCGAAACAATCTGAACGAGACGAAACCAACCAACGGTGAGGAAGAGTTTTCAAAACTTACTTTTTTATCTAGTTTTAACCACTGTGATAACCGCATCCGTCCGTTTGGTAACACGCTATAACTTTGCAAGCCAAAATACCATGTCTCCCGTAAACCGATAGTACTGCACACTAGGTCAAACAGATACTTTCCAGTGCTTTTAGGCTGTAAGCAAACGGGAGCATAAATATTGGAAGAGAAGAAAAACACCTACCGATATATTGAACTCCAATTCAGATTCGTGAGAAGTTACTTTGATTCGCAAAAGCTTCTTCGTGGGTCCCTTGTTCCACTTCATATAGATGGACGCCAAACGGACCACAATCAGAAGTAACTGGCTGCAAAGTACCTGTGGATATATCATCAAGATAACAACAGATAAGGATGGGGAAAAATTACTTAATAACTTTGTAAAGCGAACAAAGTTGATAAACTAAGATGTAGTGATCGCTGCAAAGCAAACAGTACACTTAAATTAGGAATGAACACGCAACGCGGAAACTAGTGAGCAGGAGAAAAGACTTGAGGGAGTATATACCGGCAAACAGATGAATCTTGTCTCTTTCTTTTTTCGGGTTTCATTGTCTTCAATCAACCGATTGCAGCAGCGTTTGAAAATTAGACAGGAAGAATATAGTGATACTAATCTTTCATTCGGCGGGGTAAAATACCTGTGAACAGCTTAGGCACAGTCTTAATCAAACTAAATCCTCCATAGTTTTCACAGGAGATCGGTAAAATGACCGATTCACACCTTGCAGCTGTAACCTTTTCAGTTTCCCATATTAAACCCAGGAGTTGGATCAACTCCAAGATTAACACTAAAACTTCATCCCTAGAAGCCGATGGTGAAAACCCAACGGTCCGAGGGCCATAATCCTTTTGAGATAAATTATTTACTGAGTGAACCCCACTTCAACAAGTGTACTGATGTCTACTGGCAGTAGTTGCCCAGTTGAGATGAGGGTCTACAGATCTAATGTCAATGAAGGCCAGTCGAATTAAGCTCAATAATGCGTTACTTTTGGGATTCTTCATTACCCCCATTACACCTACTTTCCGTTGGGTCGGTACTCTTGATTAAAAATAATATATTGTGACTTACCCATGACTGCTGTCTCCTCTATCTCCTTACAGTAAATCATTCACCACTAATCGCAAACACTCTTCAGACCCTGGTTAAGCTTTTCTGTAAAGCATTGTAAAGATTGCATTCTGTGTCGCATTGGGCATCTGGAGGAATGGCTCTGCGGGTGCCCAGTAAAACAGTCGTGATCTGGAAGATCCATCGTTTATATTTAGATTTTGTGATAGAACCCATCCTTGGTTTAATGGAAATTCAGCTAGCTATGACTAGCTTCCCCTGTTTATTGAGTCCTTCGATAGGTGGTTGAACTATTAGGCGATGAGAGAGCTCCACTTCAAGGGCCTAATTGCAGTTATCGCCTATATAGTATCCTGGGTGTCCAATGTCGATGGTTTCCTTGTGGCTATTTATTATATGTAGACAGAATCTGGGTAGTAGCAAAGCATGATATGTATCTACGTGCCTCGATCAGTGAAAACAGCAGCGATAAATTGATACCCTCCAGCGGTAGCTGATGCCAATACCGGTAATTGCAGTTCGTCGCTGAAAAGAGTTAGGGGTTGTTCATGCAAGATGGTGTCGTTTCTAGTGTTGAAAGTCGGTAACAGACAGGAACAATCGTAGGCTTAGGCAAAGTGGAATTTGACTATCTTCCTTTTACTGTCGAGTGCCTAAATGTTTGCCTACAGACTTTGAAGCCTCGTCAACCTCTCAATCTGAGGGCCTTTACCCTGATGATTCTGGTGCAGATGTATTAACAAGCATGTCTTGCACGTACAATGAAGTCTTCAGAAAGTGATGTCTGTTGCGTATCAGAGACAAATTTAGGATCCTAGTATTATAAGCCACCTGAGTACGCCGGGTCTGTCCTTGAGGTAATTCTTTTGTAAATCCGGAGACGATGAAACCCGCTCACTTGGTCAGCGTGGTGTAGGAATCGTACTAAACAACAAACCTGAAAACCAACTTTCGACACAGCTCTGGTCGGACGGCTACATGGTGTTCGAGTTCAACGGAAAAGTTGACCCACATTTAACACTTAATTGTGAGCTACCGTTGGTGTGGTTTGGTACAAAATTACAGCTCCTATTAGACCACCTGCGATGAGTCGGACCAAGCACCAGTTTTGGTGCGCTTCACTCTTGGACTCATCGGTCATGGGCAGAAATCAACTCATCAATTAGGTTACCATCTGCGCGACCCATCTATCTGCGCACGTTATGAGAAGCCGGGTCAGGAGGTAGGAGGACCGCAACATGGTGGAGTAGGCCAATGGTGGAATCAAATTAGATTTGCGTTTAAGTCAGCAGTCCGAAGTTCGCCGAAGACACCGAATCTCTCAGGAGTCAGTAACCTTGATGGATCAGAACCGAAACATCTGCAGAATGGATCAACCATGCCTATTGTCACACTGTTTGCAAAAGAAATCAGTGTTCCGCCGCTGGCGTCGGACACCTTCTCTATGCTTCTGCCGATGGTACTTGTGAGCACGTAACAAATGTACAACCATCATAAAAGCTAAGGAGCACTTTGTTGAGCGCAAAGCAACACAAGTGGTGACCGCTCCTTCTAGAAGCCGAGTGTTCTGGTCACCCGCTAGGCAGTCTCCCGTAGATTCTGTTCCACTAACTTCCCACTCATTGTTAAGACATCTGGTGGCTTGGTATCCGACCCGTTGGAAAAAGTACAAGTGTTTGCTTCCTATTTTGCTTCCAGTTCTACCCTTCTCAAATCACCCATCCAACCCTTCACACACCATAAGGCAAACCATCTTTTCACATCACTCGGTTCCACGACGAGACTGCACCTTGACGTGATGTGATGGCTTGTGCATCTCTATGACCCAACGAGCTACACAGGATGGCTTTATAAAGCCAGGAGATCCAAGCATGCGTGGAAGGTCAATGGGTAGAGGTCAAACAAAGTCCAGTCTCCTGGTCCTCCAGGTTAGGGGTTCGACTGGAATTTGCGTTTCAGTCGGTAAAACATGTTGGAGGAATAATTGATCCAAGTTAATGGGCCTTCAATCCGCCTTAACCGCTGCCTTGCGGTTAGGTTCTTGTCAGAACTAAAGGCTTCGGTTAAAAACCCTAGTTGTTCTCCTGCTTAGTGGCTGGACACCCGTCCATAAAGCTCCAATGAACACAAACAAAAAATAATTTCATACTGCATCCGTCATCGCGCAGGATAATCAGGACCGCGCTACCCATTGCATCGAGCGGAGTGGGTAGTGATAAGTGGGCTACTGCTCAGACATCCTAACCTTTGTTTAACTCTGTCTTCCGTACCCAACCCTATCCCTTTACTCCTTCTTCCGAACCGTAATATTTCCTCAGACAACTTGTTCGTCACTCGCCAAACGTCTTTGCAAAATACCACTGTAAGTTATGTACCACAAAGAAATTGCAGATTCTAAAGCCTCGTCAATCACTGAATCTGGGGGTCTTCAACGTGAGGAACCTGATGCAGATAGGTCAACAAGCTTTTCTGGCGCGTACAATGGAATCCTTAGTGAACGATATTTGCTGCGTATCGGAGACTCAAATCCAGGATTCTACTATTATAAGCCACTTGAGCGCTCCAGATTTCTCCTCGAGGTACGTTCTTCGCACATCAGGCGACGATGAAGCCCGCTCAGTAGGTCAGTGCGGGGTAGGAATTGTACGCAGTAATAGGGCTGAGTCCGATCTCACCGATTGCATCCCCTTCAACAGTCGTTTATGTGCAGTGTGCCTCCAGGGTTCAATCAGAAACCGGAAGGGAAGCAACATCGGGTGTTCGTTTATCGTATCGGCATATGCACCGATCAACTGCAGCTCTGATAAACAAAAAGACGCTTTCTACAATGAGCTCACAATCTCATTCGGATGAGTCGAAGCTCCGACAGGTGATTTTAACGCGCAGGTTGGAAAACTGAGCGCATCAGAAGCTTGCTTAGGTGGTAGTTGTGCTCTGCCCTGCCAACGAACAGATAACGGTGATTGACTTCTTCAATTCCGCGCAGTAGTTTTGATACAGTTCACTCTCCGACTGACTGGACAGCGACAAAACCAACAAACTTGTATAGCTCATCATCGACTATCTGTTCCAGCAATTCGTGCACTCTACGAGTCAGAGCTAGTGCGTGAGCTAGGCGCACCTCAACGTGACGATGTAGATGAGCAGTGGGATTAAATTAGACGAGCAATGCATTCCGCAGCGAACGTTCCTTGTGGGTCTGAGCCTCAAACCCATCGGAAGCATTATTTTTATTTATTTATTTATTCAACACGTAACCAATTACAGAGAACTGGCAAATGTGCCACAACATATGAACAGAAAGAAATTTAAAGAATATGTTCACGGGTTGTGTGGGCATGTTACTTCCCGGTTGCCCTGGCCGAGGAAGGGAGATAGTCTCGGGGTCCCCACTCGAAACCTTTGGCTAGAAAACCATACCTGCAAGACAACAGGACGGAGCTCAGAGTCCGAAGTCCATCCGGGGCCGGTGTCCAGTTCATTGGATCATATGCCCTTTGGACGGGGTCAAACGTCCAAGGTGCCCCATACGCCTTGATGCCCAACTGAGCCGGTGACCACTGCCNCCACTGCCGCGACCAGGAAGGTGTGCGTGTGGTTCTTACGCCTCTTCTTGGTTGGTTTGGAATCAGGATTTTTAGCCAACTCCCCTAGGTGAACTACCAGTGGTTCATCAACCCGGTTATAGCCCCGGGATTCGACTTTTCGCGCTCTCACTTTGGTGCGAAAACACCTCCGCCACGAGAAGACAGTGACTGGGGCTTCTTCAGCAGAGATTATGTGAGACACTTGGTCATATGGTAGCATTTCGCGAGGTGTAAGGAAATGGTCACTAGTCATAATCCCAGACACCCGCACCGACCAAATTGAGGGTTTCGAAGACATTGGATATCTCAGGAGTCAGTAGTTTTGATGGAAAAAACGACAAATTCCGCCCTGACAGGAACAAAACAGAGTTAGGTGGCGTCTACATCGTCGGATAGCGAAGAACCTCAAGAAGGACCGTGAGAACTGGTGTGCAACAATAGCTAGAAATGAAAGTGGCAGCTGCATCAGGGAATAGTCAAAGACTATTCCGTCTGATACACAATACGGGAGGTCGGTGAACTCCAGTTAGTGAAACAGTCTGCGGTAAGATGCGACAAGGTATTCGCAACAGGGATCAACGACTCGATCGCTGAGCGGTTCAACTGGCCAAGTGCTAACCAAGTTACTACATCTACAACTGAGGCTCCGTGGGTAGTGTCATGCGATCCTCC